GTGGGGGGTGGGGGGGTGTTTCTGCTGTGATGTTCCCAGTAACAGAAACCCTCTGTGTTTCAGTGCAGTCTGATTACCAACTCATATTTGTGTCAGTACCTGAGTCTGAACATTGTTATTACAGAATGATCAATGACCTGACCTTTCGTACGAGTCTAGACAGAGAGATACCAAAGGTCACTGTGGTGTGTGCTCCTGTAGGTCAGTGGTTGGCACAAATGTTGATGGGCTGATATTAAAGATGGATATTTTTACCCTGGGTTTGTGACTAACACTGTCGCAAAAAAACTATATATATTAAAATATATAATTTCACATTTGTTATATCGGCAGCCACTAGAGGGCACTTTAGGCTTGTCTACCAGTATCTGCTACATGCGTTCCACTGGAAATTTAACTCATGTATCAGTGAATTTTCAGGTTTTTGAGCTCCCCTTGATCTCCAGTCTAAATTAAGAGACTGATTTAGAAAAAGAAAAATAACCCAGCGAGGGACTGTCAGAAAAAGCTGGGTTGAACACTCGTAACTCGATGTTTCCTCGTTTCTGGAGGAAAATCTTGCAGTAATTGCTTACTCATAATAAAAGTCGTGTTTCGTGCTTTGTTTAAGACAAATGTCGTTGCTTTAGGCCACTCTCAAATGTTGACAGACTGGAAATAACTCTCTCATGTGGTTGTCAGGCTGGTTGTCATAGAAATGCTGTGTGAGGCAGGATGAGAACGACTTCAGGCACAAGTCCACATGACAGAAGCTACAGACAGTGGTTAACAGACAGTCTGCTCTGTGCTGGTGCGTCTGTGTCCCTGTGTCCTGGCCCTTTTTACTGGTTTGAACCCTGACCTTTTGAACCCTTCTCCGAGCCTGTGGGAACACAGGGGGAACCAGGCCTCGGTCATGATGAGACAGAAATGTCTTAGTTATAGATAAGGGAGGAAATGCTGGCTTTGGACAGAAGACGGTAAAAGACGGCATTCATTTTTCAAACATTCATTCATTCACCAGCAATCATTTAAATTTGAGTGTGACCTTTCCATCACTAATGTAAGTCACTTTCATGTAACCGGTAAAATCTTCAGCTGCTGTGTTTTCCTGGTTTAGCTTTACTTGTATGGATTATTTTATTTTTTATTTTTTGTAATTGTACTTCTCTTTTGGGGACATTTTGTATCAATTGCAGGATCAGGTTTGGGATCTAGATATTAAGATAATAATCATGGTCAGATTAAAGTTAGTGTAAGGATTGAAATCGGATATATTTTTATTAAAGGATTGCTCATAAATCACTTAGATATATATACATTACATATATATATATAATATATTTATAAATATGGTGTGTGATGAGCTGTTAACAGTCCTTGCCGTACTTCGTTATCTTGGTTAGGACTTAATTAGTTTCAAATTCAATTAGCAGCAGACACAGACTGAGCGGTGGTAACAGCAGCTGTTTGTCTGACCACACAGATGTAATCAAACTGCCGACTGTTTACAAATGACTGTGTGCCACGTTAGGGCTTCATAATGATGACACACTATTATTGTTGTATACGTTCTGAGAAAACCAATGCAGTTGGAGTGTGTGTTTGTGAACACAGCAGCAGTGTCATTGATGAGGTTTAAAAAGTTTTTTTTTTTTCATTATATTTCCAAAAAGGTACCCATTCATAAAAGTTAATGTCAGGAGTTTCTGTTGATGAAATGGGACAATTTTGTTAAATGTGATTTTTGTTTTTAAAGATGAAAGTAATAGTAATAATTGCAACACAGTCACAGACACAATGTTATATTTTGAACACAGCATTGTTGGTTTATAATCAGTTACGCCATGTCATTACTGTCATAGTTGTGAATTAACAGATTTATACGGTTTGACTTTTTTTTTTTTGCTGAATTGTGCCTTTAGACTGATTTAAGTGTATATTTTTCTTTTCACGACCCACGGTGGATGACTTGTCAGTGGGACTAAAGAGAGATTGTATCGATGCAAATGAGACACCGAGGCCGAGGATCAATTATCAACTGGCATAAACGAAGTAGCTTATCTCTTCTCTTTAATCAACTTTAAATTTCCCACTTGTCTCTTGGACTCGGGGCCACGTTCAATCTGGGGACGTTTCATCTCTGAGTGTCGTTTTACACGCCTCCGCTCGTCACAGCGGTGAAACCAGCGGACGTTTTATGCCCACGATGCAAACTTCAATCAGTTTTCTTAAAGTCTGCTTTCATCTCCTCTTTTAGTCTCCGCTGACACTGAGTTTAACTGAAGTGAGGAGAAGAGAGGGAGAGGGTTCAGCTCACTGGGTGTGATTTAATCAGCTGCAAGTGTTTTGTAACCTTCAAAAGTAAAGGAGGAAAAAAAAACCCCCACACGGCATATAGGTTGAAAACACTTCACTTCAATCAGTGTTTATTCCACAGGTTTATAATTGTCCTGAGAGACTCAGTCAACGTCATGTGATTTCAAGACCAAAATAACAAAAAACAAAATGACAAGTTATGTGGAACCGAATGATGGTGAAAAATGTGTTGACGTACTGTAAATATACTGTATACATGCATACATGTATACATGTATATATACAAAATGTGTTGACGTACTGTAAATATACATGTATACATGCATACATGTATATGTATACATGTATATATATTATATATATAATTATTACATAAATATATATACACATATATGTATATATGTATACTGTATGCAAATGTATAAATATATGTATATATGTGCGTTTATAACAAACATATACAAGTGTTTTTACTTATTTATTTTATTCATTATGATTATTATCATTACTTAAGTCATATTGTACATATTTTTAAAAATCTAATAGAATTCTAAAAAAAAATCCAATCAAGATTTTATGAACAGAGTTTAGTTACAACAATGAAAATATTACATGTTAATTAAATCTCATTTATATTTGGTTCAAGTTATTTTTAATACGTTTTTTAATGAAAACTAAACCAAAATTAAATTGGTTCTGTTGACTGAATTGGGACCAAATTCAAAGTCAATTCTGCTGAAGTTTTTCCACTAGAACTAAAACTTTTCTGTATCTTAAAACCACACGTGTACCAGTAATATGCTGCAGGTTCAAGTCCGTGGTCTGGATTTCTCATGGTCGTGTTCTTGTGGTTTTATCTTCTTCAGCTGGACAACGTGGACGAACAGGCCGCTCAAATCCGCAGAGAGCTGGACGGCAGGCTGCAACTGGCTGAGAGGATCGCCAGGGTGAGAAGGGGGGAGTGTGTACTACTGTATACGACCCTTTAAATGTATTTCTGTATTTTGTAGTAGTCTAGTACCATGTGGCAGGTACACTAGTACACTAGTACAGTGGTGTGATACAGATGTGCCGTGGCTCAAAAGAAAACCTTGGGAAACACTGGTGTATTTGTCCAGTATGATGGAGAACTTTACTAAGTGACATCTTCCCGCTCTCTCACACACGTCGTCCTCCGTCCTCCAGGAGAAGAAACAGCCCAAGTTTGTCTCTCCTGACATGGAGGCTCTCTTCGTAGAGGAGCTCCGCTCGTCTGTCAACCTGCTCATGGCAAACCTCGAGAGTCTGCCTGTGTCCAAGGGCGGTCCGGACTTTAAACAGAAGCTGAAACGCTCCACTTTGAACAACTCCTTCCTGGACCTGGGTGAAGAGGGAGACATCCTGTCCAAGTCTGACGTTGTGCTGTCCTTCACTCTCGAGGTCTGTGAGTGTTTTTGTGGAAACTCGCATGATTTTTATTTATTTATTTATTTATTTTTGCTTGTTTGTCCTGTTTGCTGCTGACTTTCAGAAACACAGAAATGAGAAATGAAATCCCCGGAACAGAATCAATAAACAATCGCTGAGATGAATAACAAATGTTTTATTCACGTGAACAGACTTTCTACACTGCAAATAAACAAGCTCCCTCACTCACTTGGTTAGTTTGACTAAATAAACTAGAATTTACCTTGAGGGGTTGAAATGTTTGCCGTTTCTGAAGCATTTCAGATTCTTTTACCGGTAGAATCTCTGTAAACTAATGACGTGCTGAGATGTCCTTGCAGAAGGAGGCCATTTTAATTTGATTTTTAAAACGTCTGGGACTTCTAGCAACCAGTCATGAATTCAAATGCGGATTGCGGAATGCTCTAGCAACCAGTCATGAATTCAAATGCTGATTGTCATTGTTAGATTTTGGCATTAAAACCCTTTAATTAGTGCTGATAAAATTAACTGCAGTAAATAACCTTGGAAATAAATTGATCTAAAATGTTGATGCATTTTAAGTGACTGTCCAATAATCCATTGTTTCCCAAAGACTGGGGCGCGGCCCTCAAGTGGGTCGCAAGATTGTTATTTTTTTTTTGGGTCGTCTCACTGTCATGTTTTCCAGGGATTTATCAATAATGTCTGTTGACTTGGGTCGTGAAGGTTTCTGACTTTCCCCAGAAAAAACAATTTGGGAAAGACTACAATAATCCACTAATCCCCAGCTAGCATGTGCTCAGCCGTGTCTCCACTGGTGTTTTCAGATTGTCATCGTGGAGGTCCAGGGTCTGAAGTCTGTTGCTCCAAACCGCATCGTGTACTGCACCATGGAGGTGGACGGAGGAGAGAAGCTGCAGACAGACCAGGCTGAAGCAGCCAGACCACAGTGAGTTCTTTGGCTCGTTTCTCAGTTACAACTTAACGAAGAATTCAGTAATGAAGAACCAAACACTGATAGTGAGGAGACGCAGACACACATTTAAAAAGAACACAATAAAAGTTTACATTTATTAGAAAGAGAAGACACTGTGTCGTCTCAAATAAAGACCAGGATCTAAAAGTTTTATCAGTTTTATCTGTTTTCATTCTTTAATGAATATATGGGTTTTATTTGGTGCAGCTTAATGTGGTTTTGTTGTCTTACAGGTGATTATTAGAGTCTGGTAATGAAGAGCTTAAACTTAGCCCGTCTCCACAGTAACTGGTGCTGCTGTGAAAAGACACAGATATATAATTTTTAATGTTTGGTATTTTCACACTGACAGTCACTAGAGGGCACTAGGCCTGTGCACCAGAATCTGCTACTCCTATACCAATGAAAATTTATATGGTCACTATTTTCACAGTGACAGCCACTAGAGGGCACTCTAGGCCTGTGTACCAGAATCTGCTACTCCTGTAAGTCACGACTTATAGTCCAGAAAATACAGTACAAGTCTAAACAAACATAAGCAAACATATCCCACCTTTCCTTTGGTAATGTCTGTCACTGTCCAGGTCAGGGCCGGTCCGCCCAGGTCAGGGCCGGTCCGTCCAGGTCAGGGCCGGTCCGTCCAGGTCAGGGCCGGTCCGTCCAGGTCAGGGCTGTTACAGTGTGTGACAGTATTAGTCTCTACTCACAGTCTACAGAACACAAACTGACTTTTGTTTTCCTCAGAATTTCTTGGCTGAGTACAAATCCATAATGATAATGAGCTCAGGGCTCAGTGTGAGCCGCGGTGATGATCTGTGTTAGGTGTTTGAGCTGGAGAACAAGAACAGGTGAAGACGTTCTCCTGTCTCTCTTCATCCCTGCTCTTGTTCATCTGTAAACCTAATAACACACGGCCGCTGCTCTTCTCCTGCTGCTGTTTCTATGATCAACCTGCAGAACACGTCTGTGTCTTTGTGAACCTGTCCATGCGATCATTACCAACGTAGTTACCAGTATTTATACGGACGTTACTACAGGGCATGATTACAGTCATTAATCACCCAGGAGCTTGATGTGAAAATAACCACATTAAAAGTCAAAATGTCAATTTGGATTTGGTTTCCTGTGAACCAACACTCACCAAAACATTGTTTTTCCAGATGTAAATTAGCTCTATTGAAAAAAAAAAATACTAGGGCGAAATTACCTCGCGGAATGCTTTGACTGTGTATCTGATAATTAGATTGTCCATCTACTTATCGTTGCTCTAACAGTGGTCCCAAACCCCTGGCTCTCGGGCTACTTCCACCCCACAGAGCTTCCCAAATCTGACTCGCAACTAGATGGTTTATTTTTTACCTTTTAAAGATTTATTTTCAACTGTTTTGAGACCGCTGCTCTAATACAGAGTTATAATTGTTCGACGCTCCTGGAAAGCACAGTATGTAACAGTGACTTCATTTCTCCACGACAGCTGCAAACAGTCGGGCTATTCTTGTGGAAGCATTTCTCACTTCAGAGTTCTGTGTTTGTAGATTTTAATACGATTTATTATTATTGTAATATAAAAAGTCCCTCGACTTAAAAAGTCTTAAAATCACTTGCTGGAATCTGACGGTGGAGCTGGAGATTTGGTATTTTATCACCTAGAGAAAACATGATGTGGAGCTCCATGTTGGTTTTCACCCTTCAGTAATTGAAGCTGTCACTCATCAAGATCGCAATACACACACACACACACACACACACACACGCACATATACTGTGCATACAGACGTGTGAACTCTGCTCACAAGAAATAACAGGAACACGTCTCTCGGTGTTGGTGATCTCCTTGTGTCCGTCTTCTCCGCTCCGAGGCGTCGATGTTAGACTTACTGTGAAATGAACAGCAGCAGCAGCAGCATCAACAGCATCAGCAGCATCAGCTGACACAGACAGGGCTAACGCTGCCTTTGGATCTGTGGTTGACCCCAGCGTTGACCTCTTGTCTGGGTCAAGTGTCCATTCAGAACACTGCTGTCTGTTTCTGAGCTGATTTGGCACGTGTTTCTCTCTCTCTCTCTCTCTCTCTCTCTCCAGGTGGGGGACTCAGGGGGACTTCATCACAACTCACCCACTGCCCTCAGTTAAGGTCAAGCTGTTCACAGAGAGCACTGGAGTCCTGGCTCTGGAGGACAAGGAGCTGGGTCGAGTGAGTCCATGTTTTTTAGGCAACACACAAAACTTCACATGTTATCAAACGTCTATAGTCACTGCTTAGTAAACTCTTCCTGTAGCGCCCCCCTTTGGTAGATTGGGGTGTTGTCGAGCCTCTGAATATCAACACATTATCAGTGTGACTTATCTTTACTTTATATTGTTGATTTAACCTTAGTTATAAACATTGACTGTATTTAGGAGGATATTTGAGTCTTAATTTGAATTCATATTTCAAACTGTAAAGTCCACTGAGACAAAGGTGTTTTGTAAATATGGGCTGTAATATTAAAAGCTGTTTGTCTTACTGAACAAAATAATTTATAAAATTAAAAATGATTGGATTTTTTTTCAGCTTTGGGGAAATTAAAGAAAATATATTGAGATTGAAAAACATTTGTTTCACCACATCAACCTTGAAATAACTCGGTGGACATGGGGGACCCCGACCCTCATTTTATATGAGAGTAGGAAATGTGTAGTAACAGCCCACAGACGTACAGTTAGGCTGATTTCTCAGACTCATTTTCTACAACAATAGGACGCTGTAGATTTTCAGCAAAAAAAATTCTTCTGTGTTCCTGAGATGTTTTCGAATTAATTAACAAATAATTCTCTTCCATGGCAGTGGGAGGGGGGACTAATGACTCCCATGTTTACCACACACTGTAGGTGGAGAGAGGTTGTGTGTGTTCAGGCTCAGACGGCCTTACGCCTGATGGTTGTGTGAAGAGTTTTACCACCGGAGTTGCGTTAAATGTCGATGTCTCATCATTAACACGGTTTCTGAGCCAAACAAAAACTGGCCGACACTGACCGCCTGCTGATGTCCCCTCAGGTGGTCCTGAACCCCACCACCAATGGACCAAAACAGGCCGACTTCCACAGGATGGTGGTCCCAAAGAACAGTCAGGACACTGAGCTCAAGATCAAGCTGGCGGTCCGAATGGACAAGCCCCCCGCGTTAAAGCACAGCGGGTGGGTCTCTGTTTTTTCTTTTTTTTTTTAATCTTTCTTTCAGTTTCTAGTGATTTAGTGAACTTCTTACTCTAAACCTCCGAGGAGTCAAAAATATGGAACATCACTCAGGTATTTTTTTTAAAGGTCAAGGAACATTTTAAAGCAATTTACTTGCTTAGAAATCGTTTAATGTCAGACTTTAAATGTTAATCTTCCAAAACTTCTGTCTAACAACAAAATCACAGAAACAATTACATACATTTTTGCGATTTGCAGCTCAAAGTGTAGCCATTCTTTTTTTCCATTCTTTTTTACGTTAGTGTCAATAACTTATAGCTGGCTGACAGCTCCATCTACTGGTTTTATTAAGGTATGTGGGGAAAGAATCAGCTGTCGCTGACATTCATTACCACAGCAAATTATTATATATTATATTTAGGCGGCACAGTTCTGTAAAAAATCAGATCACAGTGAAGACAACAAAGAGGAAAATACCTAAGGTCAGGTTTGTTTGACTTGAGGTGACTGAAGGTTGTTGTTTATTATTTGCAAACACTGAATGGACTGTGAGGTTCCTTGTAAATAAATGAGACCTTTATAGTTTCCCAATGGAAAAAAGTTCGTGTTTAGCAGAGGATGGTTTCGATCCATCGACCTCTGGGTTATGGGCCCAGCACGCTTCCGCTGCGCCACTCTGCTTGTCGTAGTCTATTGTTATTTTTCTGTATGTTCTGTACACAGGAAAAATCTTTGTTAAGCATAGTTCTCTTTTTGTCCAGCAGATGGAGGCAAAACACCACTTTCCTAACCCCAGGTTTAATTTTTGTGAGAATTATTCCAGATGCTTCTTTAGCCGATAAGGGCCACACTTTGGGCTGCATTGTTGAACACCATAAACACACCAGAGTAAATGGTTTGTGTTTTTGTGCCTACACATCTGTTGATAAATTCAAATGTGACCATTCACTCGGTATGATGGTACAACATGTTTTTTGTTTTTACTAAAACGTACAAAATAAAACTGCATTAGATCGAAAATTCCTAAAATTAATAAATAAATTAAATCTAGTTTTCTGCATATAATACTAAGTTCTATTTCAGCTGTTCCCAACTTCGGCTGTTTTTTAAAATGTCCACTAGGGGTCAGCATCGGTCTCCTCGTGAGTCCAGTTCGTCTTTGGTTGGTTCGTCTTCTGGCTTTTCTTTATAGTTCAAATCAAGGTTTTTGATACATTTGTTAGAGACATAAGACTGACGGGCCAAACAAGGTCTGTGTGTTACTTTTATAAAGAACACAGGTAAATGAATGGAGGCACAAAAAAAAAAAAGTCTTAGAAGAAGCCGACTGATGGCTGCTGCTGCTTAGAGGAAAGAAAAAGAGCACATACAGAAAATGTTTTGCTACCTTTGTGTTATTTTTCATGGGTTCACGCTGCAAAAAAAGAAATCCATGAAAAGGAGCCTGATAGGTTAAAGACGTGAGTCCATTAAAGGGCCAGCAGACGCAGGAGCATATTTTACTTTTCAGGGAGAAAAATAAAGCACTCGCCCAGAAGAAAACACTTGGAGATGTGTTTAAAAATGTATGATATGTTTATACAAATATACGTACAGGAAGGAGGCAATGTTGTTGGTACCACTGTATATTTCCCTCAGCTTTGATCGTGGTCCATTCAGCCACATTTGTGTTTTCAAATAAAATATAAATTGGATATAAATATAAAAGGTGGTTAAAAATGAGCCCCACGGCACGTCAGTGTCTGAATATCCAGCCAAATGACGAGCTGGAGAAGTGGATTGTTTGCGGGGAGAGCTAAGTTAAGTCTGCGGTGAACTCTGTGGACGTGGTGCAGTGTGACTTGAATGGGAGTTTGAGTTTGAAACCCTGCAGCCGTGGCACCGACAACCCAACCGTACTCACAAGTGGCCGGCGAGCGGGGCCGCGTGTTAACCCGGAGTCGTGGCGAATGGCCCAGATTCTCAGTCTAGACTTGTCGCTGCCTTGACTGGAGGCCTTTTCTTTGAGGGCGGGCAGCAGGGCTGAAGAAAGGGGTCTCGCCATCGATTGATTTTCCTCACTTGCACTTGCCTGTATCCCACGCTTCAGGAGGCTCCGGAGCAGCCATTGATTGAAAGGCCAAGCTGGTCATTCTTCCATTTTCTTCAAGTCCTTACCAATGAGCTGCTGTTTGTGTCGTGGCCTTTCTCAGCTCAGGACTCTGTACTCCCCCGGGCCCCCCGCATGCATGACCCTCCTCAATAAGGCAGGAAAGGCTGCTTTTAATATGATACAAGCTGAAATTGTTGTTCAATTAGTTGGGTTTTTTTTTTAATTAAATTAAATATATATATTGTATTGTATACCCTTACACCAGTCATGAGCAAACTAAGGCCCGGGGGCCAGATGCGGCCGGCCAAACTTTTTCAAATGATATAATTTGTTTATATTATCATTATATTTCTGCCTTTTCCCTGCAATACCCACGTTTCCCCAATAGATGGCGTAGAAAATGATAAAAGCATTTTAGCCTTCATGCATGACTTTGACATGTCATTTATCTTAGTTCACACTAACGCTCCCTCTATCTGCTCCTTATGTCCTAATTACCCAAAAAAAATGTAAGAGATCCTCATTTGTTTTAACCAATAGAAACTGGAGGAAAAATATTTATATCCATACAATTTTGCTGAAACTCCAGAAACATGTTACACTGAAGAAACTTGGGCCAGTGTCACGATCCTGCTTTTAGAACTATTTCTTTTTCAGCTAAAATGTTGACTTTGTAGTTTTTTGGGTTTTTTTTATGTTTAGCTTTGCTGAAGAAGTCATTGTATCAAAACCAGCCTAATCTTATCATCCTTGTGTTCCAGGCACCTGTACGCCGTGGGTCAAAGAGTCTGGAAGCGCTGGAAGAAAAGATACTTCGTTCTCGTTCAGGTGAGAGGGGAATGATGTCAGATTTATTCACAGTTATTTGTCGACGCAGGAGAGAGAAGAAAGACGACGGGTCACATGAGCTGAGATTTAATATAGACACAGCTCTGGTTAGGATTTGCTGAAAATACCAAAAAAAAAAAAAGTGAGAGTTAAGAGTGTATTTGCTCTAATGCACTGTTTTTGTCAATTAATGTGTAAAAGAATTTCTCTTTAAAGAAAAAACAAACTTGTAGCCGAGAGGTCGCGAGGTAAACAAAATTAAACAAAATTAAAGTGAATAAGTAAACAATTTGCACTTATTACCTAAAACATCTCACCAGAAATAATAAAAAAAAAACAGAATTAATGTTTCATGATTTAGTTTCAGAAATTCCTTGTTTGCTGTTTGTTGTTTTGTTTTTTTTCTCAAGCTTTTAGTCACGAGGAAAATCAGGCTTTTATTAAAAAAGTGTTTTCTCAGATAAACAAAGCTGAGAGACTCAGACAAGTCTCAGATAAACAAAGCTGAGAGACTCAAATTTAAATGATAAATGTCACTTAATTTTAATTCTAGTTGATAGTTTTTGATTGGTTTTAATTGGTAAAGTCATTTTTACTGGAATCTCAAATAGACTGAGTGGCACAATTTAATGAACGAAAATGGAAGTCAAATATTTCTAAAAACTTAAGTTATTTCCCTCATAAAACTTTTTTTTCTCCTAAATAAACAACAATAGATGCAGAAGGTCAATTCAATTATTCTAATTGTAGCTTTTTAAATGAAAAAATAAAGTTGTTTGTGTCCCTTTGATAAAACATTAACTGACAGTGTTAAGAAACTTTTCTGCCAACTTTATTTTTGTTGAAGAACTGATGTTGTTTCATCTGATGAAGTTTAAAGTCTTAAACCAAAAATACAGTAAAACATAAATTAACTCAAACGTTCATCGAAAGGTAAAGTATAAAAATGTACAAAATTAAATTAAATGAACATCATCAGCTTTACTGCACTGTATGTCGAATGAAACAATGAGAAAAGATTGTGGGCGATGGAGGAAAAAAAAAATCAAGAATGGATTTTGCTGTTAAATGTGTGTGACCTTTGACCCCTACGACAGTACCACATTATAAATGCTGCGTTAAGGGCTGAAATTAGAATTTTACAGAAGCCAGTTGTCATTTTAGACACACATTACACCGGCCTGGAACATAGTGGTGCAGTGGTGCGTCAGTCGCATGTGCTGTACATGTTGTTGTGTTGTTAAATTATATGCTTCAGAAGGACTAAAACGTTTTCTTTGTTTGTTTTTAGTTTTCATTGCACAGAATTAACAGAATGTTAAAAACCTTTCCTGGTAAAGAGGTTTGTACAGATTTAGACCATTTCAAGAAGAACACAGTGTTAAACGCTGTATTAAGAGTCTAAGGTTTCATGTAAGTGACAGATAGGGTGACCCAACTGAATGGTAGTGTTTGGACGTTTTTTTTTTTCCTGGAAATCGTGAATGTTGTCCCGTCTTTCAAATACTAAAAGTTCAAAAAGGCTGTGAAGACAATTTATGAGGTGTAATTTACTGTGTATCCGGTGGCTGTGAGCAACGTAGGGCTCACAGTCAATCGAGTATAAAAAAAGCATTTTAATTTTATTAGTATTTCAATCCAGAATAATCTAAATGTGCTGCATCTTCGTGATCACATGTCCCACACGGTCTCAAAGATAATCTGTGTCGTGAGGTGTTAATGTGTTGGTCACGTGGTCTCCGTCCTGCAGGTGAGTCAGTACACCTTCGCCATGTGCAGCTACAGAGAAAAGAAAGCGGAGCCTCAGGAGCTGATGCAGCTGGAGGGCTACACCGTGGACTACTGCGACCCCCAGCCAGGTACAGTGGATCACTGCGTCACACTGGCCCGAGCGCTGGACACCAAATGAAAAAAAAATGACGTGAATGTCCGTCTTTAACTCGGAACCGATTAAGTGTTAGTGATTTAAACTAAGAACGTGGCCACAAACAGCTGCTGCTCATGACGATGGTATTTCTAGCTTGAGGTGCTTCAGTGATACAAAAACTTCCCCACATGGTGTATAAATAACAAAATGTATCAACTGTTTGTCAGAGCAACGATACCTGAGTGGACAGAGGTGTTTTTGGACACAGTCTGTGTGATGCTGCACATGCTTTCTAACAGTGTTTCAAACCTTCAGTCCCCGGGCCACTTTTGCCCCCCGCCCCACATGTTAGTTTTAGTTTTTTTGGCCCTCCTATGAGTTAGCATGAGCAACAGCGACCCCGCCGCTCTACCAGTTTTAAATCCCCTGCTTTAAAATAATAAAATAATATAATAAAGAAATGGTATATATGGTATATATATTTTTACCACTTTAATTTTAATTTTTTATGTGTGTTTATTTCACTCAGTTGTTTTGACAAGTAAAACTGTGTGGGCAGAAAGTAAATAAAAATCATATTAATGATGAAAAAAATAAACGGTTGATGAATTAACAACACTGAACACTGAAATAGGTCTAAAGAAATATATATATGGACAGATTTATTCTTCACAGCTTACGTGTGTTTGTTGGAAGTGGGAACATCAGTCGTCAGAGATGCTCCTCTCAATGTCTTCCTCTCAAGGTCTCCAAGGCGGTCGAGTGTTTTTTAACGCTGTGAAGGAGGGCGACCTGGTGATGTTTGCCTGCGACGACGAGTCGGACCGAGTTCTGTGGGTTCAGGCCATGTACCGGGCCACGGGCCAGTCCTACAAACCTGTGCCGCCGCTGCAGAACAAAACCACAAACTGCAGAGGAGCGATTCAGAAGGCAGCGTCGCCCATCAGTGAGTTCCACACAGATTTTTTTTCTGATGAAAACTGTTGAGTAATGAAATGCTCTTGACCCGTGGATGTCTCAGATTGTTGCAGAGTAACTTTCCAATGCCGAGGATAGACTAAAGGAATCCAGAATCTAGAATAGGCTTTTGAACTTTTCAATAACCTGAGTCGTCACTGGTTATTTTTCATTTATTAAACCTTGATTTCTGTGGCGTTCGGTGCCTTTGTTTACAACTTCACCGTCACATTTCTCTTTTTTCTGTTTACAACTTCACCGTCACATTTCTCGGAAAAGCAGCAGAAAATGTCGTCTTTTAATTCATCCCAGTGGTCGTTCAGAGATTTATTAGCAAAGAACTTACCGTAGCCATGGCCACTCTTTTGACAACCATCTGGAATCCTCCAAGAATTAGAAGTAATTTGGTTCTGACCTTAAACTCTTGTCTTTTTTTACCCCCCACATCCTCCTTACTTTATTTTTATTCTTGTAACATTTACTTTAAAAAAAAGTCCTCACTATTTTCTGTCTTTATTCTTCATATTTTACTGCTTCGTTTGATTGCGCTGAACAAACTTTTCACAGACTGTGACCAAAAACAATAAGGACTTTTTTTTCATACATCGATCGAACTCTTCCCATGTCATTGTTCCACTTCATTTTACAAATATTTCCACTTATTTTCCTCTGGTTTTTTTCCTCATTTTCATTGCAGTTATTTCTTCTGTTCATTCGCACGTAATTATTTTATTTGTTATCTACACATAATAGTTGCATCAATGTCAGCGGGCTTGACAGTCGCCTCCTCCCAGCCCGGCACAGTGACACCAGGAGGCCGGTACTGAGAGATGATTACAACAGTATTTGTTTAACGTGCCACGACGGCGGCCGTTCTTGCAGCCGCTCATTAGCGTTTAATGAAAGAGATTGAAGAGTTAATGGCAAAAGGTGCTGAAACGCCGTGAGCAGGTGGAAACACAGTGCACGGCGTCCCTGAAATAGCACTTAACTGGGTGCTAAGTGCTTCTCCGTGTGTGTGAATGTGTGTGTGTGAGTGTGTAGATGTAATGGGTTTGACAGGAAGTTGTTCTTGCTTTAATAACAATTGTGTCGCTGAACCTGTATCTTCATCTCTCTTGGTGGCGAATGAAAGGCGGAGGTTAGATAACGCTAACAGCTAGCGAGTTTGGTTTGAACAATAAAGTCAGTGCTCCAAGTAGTCAAAGTTTAAACTTCAACTGAGTGTAGAGTTAGAACAAAGGTCACGTGGATGGATGGATGGATGGATAGGTAGTCGCTCCGCAGTATAAGTCGCAACAGCCAGCAACAGTGACCTCCAGTGGCTATCAGTGTGAAACCACAACAAACATGTTAATTTTCAGTTGTACAGAAATAGCAGATACTGGTACACAAGCCAAGAGCGCCCTCTAGCGGCTGTCAGTGTGAAAATAACAAACATAAATATTTTATATATATATGTTCTAATATATGTCGCACCTGAGTATAAGTGGTGAACCCAGCCACAGTTCAGCTTTATTTTACTCCAGTACTTCCTGTGAACTCAGTGTGACCTTCCAGACGTTTGGGACGTCCACAAACACCAGTCACAGATGAGCGCGTCTGTTTCAACGTCTCTGAAACTCTTTCCTGACAGGACGTTATTCTGCTTGACTCTAACGCCACGACAATCCTCACTCAGTCAGACAGAAGCTGATGGCCTTGTCCGGATGCATCTTGATTTCGCCTCGTTGACACCGCGCCGCGCAGATCAAGATCACATCTCTCGGCCCGACGCACCTGAAACTGAGACATACCCACCACCCCCCGCCCCCCATCTTCATCCACATCAATAACCTGCCATCAGAACCGCTCATCAACCCTCAGAGCAGGTGTCACATGGATGTGACTGCGTTCCTGTGATGACCCGGGAACAGATGGACACACAGGGATCAAAGCCTCAGCCTCGGCCGCATCTCACCTCATCACTGTGAAGGCTTCAAGTTGAATTGAAAGATTTCTCTGGGATATGAATAAAAGAAGGCGAACGTAGATAAATATATTTTCAGCAGAAGACTTTAAACACAAAGGTACACATTTATAGTCCAGCGTATGTATTTATCTACAGCTTCATATACATGTAACCAACACCAAAGCCTAATGTTGGCCGACACACACGTGGTTCCATAGTGTAACAGTTATCATGCCTGCCTTACACGCACAAGGTCCTGGGTTCGATCTCCAGGGTTACAGCTTACTCAATGGTGCCTCCTGTGGCAGTCTGTGTGAGTTGCAGAGACTCACACTATGAGTTTCTCCACAAAAAAGGGACAAGTATTAAATTAATATATATTTTTTGGAACTATATTTTTGGAATCTGGTCAGTTCCATAGTGTAGCGGTAAGCACACCCGCCTCGGAAGCAGTGAGTCCTATGTTCGATTCCCAGAGCCTGTTAACAGCATATCTGCTGCTAACACAACAATTACCCAACTATGGGATCAATAAAGTTGACATTTATTTTATTTATTTATTTATTTATCAATATTTGTCTTTCAGTTTCAGAAAAAATATATAGAAACAAAATTTTTGTCATATTTCCCTTTTTGATATTTCTGGATCCATGAAGACTAATCCTCAGAATAACAGCCATAAAAATGTCATCCACACTCATCCGCACCCCCCCCCCCCCCCCCCTTTAACACACACACCCAGGAGATAATAGCTGAAAGTTGGACTTGACACGGATCAACGTCACCCATCCACCGTCTGTCCCCCAATCAATACTCCCCCTCCTCCCTTCTCCTCTTATTATCAGCACTAATCTATATCTCTTTGTCTCGTTGTCTTTGGAGTCGCCTCCTTCACTCTCTGTCTTTTCTCCAAATTACATTAAGCACAATCCCATGTTTTGGACCTAACAAATGTAAAATGACCTACATCGGAATTGGACTGGGGGGGGGCGGGCCTCAGGAGCCAAAGGGCAGCCAGAGACAGAAAAGTGGACGAGTCCAGAGAAAAGAAGACGGAAGAAAAGGAGAGGAGCGTTGATTGGAAGTTGATTGTGGAGATTTCACTTTTGCTGTTTTTTTTTTTCTCTCGTTTTGACAAAAGCGACAAAAGAACGAGGTGATGCAGGGGGGAGGTGTGAGGGGCAAAACACAAATGCCTGAGAGTCCTTGCAGGCTTTTCTGCATCCACACAAAAAAACAAAATGGCAGCGTTAATAAAAAAGCGATCGCTAATGCTTGTCTCAGGCACAAGGCCGCGGGCGTCGCAGGCGTGAAAGCGGTTCCCGCATTCTTCGGGGAAGCTGTGCTCCTTTTGTAGGGCCATGTGTCACACTCTGGAACTTCCCATCCCGAAATGTACTCCAACAATGGAGGCAGAGTGGAGAGTGTTAGGCTTTTCATTTGTCGGGGCCATTAACAGCAAGGTCTGAAAGGACTGGAAATGAACCCAGGTCTGCTCAGGCTGGGACGCCATGCGCCTCTTCTGCTTCTTTTATTGGCCCTGTTTTTCTGTTGATGCCAGTGACACTGACCCCGAAGCCTCATTATTGTCGCCCACGGCAGGAGCTACGGTGGTGGAAGGAGAGTTTCACTGTGCCGCGGTGTCGGTTCAGTCCAATAACAAGTTGGTTGTTTTTGTGTTTTTCACGTTACTAAAAACACCTTTTTATAATGAGTACAACGGAGCTTCTGTCAGGACGCAGGTCTAATATTTGTCCCTTCGATCTTGAACTCAAGAGGCCCAGACAGTATCAACGCAGGTTGGAATTTACTGAGGGCTTATGTGAATGTTTGTGTCAGCTGACGCCACTGACAGCTTCACAGAGGATCTGTCGCCAACCGAGGTGGGAACCATTAGCCGCAGCACTTCCACGGCGTCCTTGAATTTGTGTACTGACACTTGTTCATCACCAGGAGCTCAGAAAGGTGTGAAGAGTTGTTGGGGGAACAATTAGGACGACACCTACTGTACAGCGACGCCGGAGAGAAACCAGTGCTGACTCTTTGCTTACGTTGTTTCTTCCGTTCATCCCTTCACACAGTATGGAGACAGTATTGAACATGTTATTGAAGAATAAGAGTTTCACCACGTGATGGCTTAGCTCAGCGGTTTCCAAAGTGTGGATTGAGTACCAAAAGGTGTGCAGCAAGGGAAACACATTAGAGTTGTGGTTTGCAGGAGTTATTACACAGTGATTTAGATGAAGTTAAAAAATTAGTATTAGGGGGCGCTGCAAAAGCCTGGACCGCGGTGGGTTAAGTTGAAGGTTTAGTAACTAAACCTTCAACTCAACCCACAACGGTCGAGACAACTGACCCACTGGGGGGTTCAATCTGGCGCTCTTGATCAATTTTGTGAAAAGTGAAAGTGATAAAAAAAATGCACAAACACTTCATGCTAGTGATGTTTAGTCAAATTATATTTCATTAAATATGGATATTTTATGATATTCTTGTACTTATTTGCAAAAAAACAAAGAGCAAAAACATGGACTTTGTTGTTGTTATTTATGGGTAGTTATGTTATGATTGTACTGGTCCGGCCCACTTGAAATTTAATCGGGCTGTAATCGGGCCCCTGACCCAAAATGAGTTTGACGCCCCTGGAATTTTGTATTGAACTGCCGCTGACTCGTCACTGTGGAACAAAATGAAAGTGTTTGTCAACAAAGCTGTGTTTCTACTGAAGGTTACAGTGTACAACAAAGTCCTGAGCTACTCTGAAGTGAAGTCAACTTTGTGTTTCAGGTCTGGACCCTTCTCAGCGTCAGGGAGTGGAGGAGTTGATCTCTTCACCTCCGTGTCACTTTGACCACGCCACACTGTTCAGTGTTTTACAGAAACACACTCTCCAGCACCGGATGAACGACTCCTTCTCCTGTCTGGTATGTTGAAAAAAAAAAATCACTCTCTTCTGTTTGGGTTTTGAGTCAAATGTCGGAACTTGTGTTTTTTTTTTTTTTTAAAGTCCTTTCCTTTTAAAGTTTCTGTGCAGTTGGTGAAGCTGTTTGATTGGCTTAGGGATACTTTGTTGTTTATTCACCATACGTGTACAAAACCCGTTGGATGTTTCTCACTAACTCCATCCGTCACAGTAACTCCACCGTTGCTACGGTTGGAGAAACTTTTTTAAGGACGAAATACATTTATCAACTCTTATTTAATCAGTCATAATTAAAACCCAAATAAAGCTGAAGCTGCAGCTTTAAACAAGTTGAACTACTAAGACAGCAAAGCCCCCCCCCCCGCTCTCTCTCTTGTAAGCCTGCAGGGCTCTCTCTCTGATTGAGAGGATAAATGCTGTAATCAATATTTTCCAAATAGGAACATGACCCCTATGGACAAGCACTGAACTGTCTCACGCAACAAAGACGAAGGAGTGGGGGGTGGAGGGGGGGGTCATTTTTTTAATGTCTTCTGTGCAACCAAGCAAAAAGCAGATGAAGATTGAGGACGATTTAAAAAAAATAGTTTTACATGTTAATATGTACAGTCAGTTTTTGACCTGGACTCCTGTTTGGAGACAACATTCATGGTTTGGTCAGAGGTCCGTCTCTACCATGGATTTATTTGAGGGACCTTTAAAAAGTCAGGATATAAAGACGCTGTTTGCCCTGATCGTAGGTACAGGAGCTTAGAAAAGGTTTTTGGAAAACAGTTCAGTGAAACACTGAAAGTGTTGGTTTGTTGTTAGAAAGGTTTACTCCAGTACAGTATATCCACTGAATCCAATTTCTGACACAAGATGGCAACAATGAGGAGGGAGAGGAAGATGTTGAGATGTTCCTGTGGGTCAGTGTCTCTCCACGTCTTGTTTTTGTTGCTGTGGATGAACCAGAAGAAGGTGTAAAATATATTTTTGTGAATGTGTCGTCAACTCAGCCGCTGTATTTTTTTATTCGTGGTTCAGGGCAGAAAATTGATGAACAACAAACAAGATTTGTCTTGACTATAGACATCAGAACAGGTTTCCTTATTTTAAAAAATGAAATATTTGATATTGATTAGTGATGGAGTTGTCGTGTTGACTAGAATGAAGAAGCGCTGCTGTAAAACACCATATATTTAAGAGGATCTTTATTAAAATAGTGTTTAATATCTGTCTACAAAATAAACAACTCAACATCCTCGGATCTTTATTAAAATAGTGTTTAATATGTGGCTACAAAATAAACAACTCAACATCCTTAGCGTTAACAGCAGTGGCAGACAAGAGAACGCTTTTCAGAAAGAAAAAAAAAAACCTCTCCTCCTGTCGTGTTGTGTTCTGCTCTTTTTAGAAGCAGCAGAACGAGGAGATGTTCCTCAGAGTGACATCTGTGCTTCTTTCACTTCTCTACCTGCCTCACTAGGATGCCTTCCAGCTTTGCAATTAGAACGAGCCTTTCACACTGGCCCCGCAGCTCTTCTCTGCTCGGCCTTTTGTTCAAACTCCAGGGCTTTGTGTTGAAAACCTGAGCCCTTTTCACCAACTTCCCTGAGAAAAGGCCAGTGCCTGTGTGTGGGGGACATCTGTTGAGAAGTGGCTTGGGTTCATGTCGTGGACCGGGTCATCTTTGCTATTCAAAACCTGTTAAACTCAACAAAAACAACAATTTAGTTCGCAGTCGTGGGATTTAGAGTTTGTCGGGATCTTGGTAAATGCACAGTGCAGACCCCGCTGATGACTGAGGGGTCGGAAAGGTCGTGTTAGTGCTGCTGGTGAGTCTCCACAAACAGAGCATATGTAAAAAAAAAAACAAAACTATAGTGTTGTGTTCTGCTCTTTTTAGAAGCAGCAGAACGAGGAGATGTTCCTCAGAGTGACATCTGTGCTTCTTTCACTTCTCTACCTGCCTCACTAGGATGCCTTCCAGCTTTGCAATTAGAACGAGCCTTTCACACTGGCCCCGCAGCTCTTCTCTGCTCGGCCTTTTGTTCAAACTCCAGGGCTTTGTGTTGAAAACCTGAGCCCTTTTCACCAACTTCCCTGAGAAAAGGCCAGTGCCTGTGTGTGGGGGACATCTGTTGAGAAGTGGCTTGGGTTCATGTCGTGGACCGGGTCATCTTTGCTATTCAAAACCTGTTAAACTCAACAAAAACAACAATTTAGTTCGCAGTCGTGGGATTTAGAGTTTGTCGGGATCTTGGTAAATGCACAGTGCAGACCCCGCTGATGACTGAGGGGTCGGAAAGGTCGTGTTAGTGCTGCTGGTGAGTCTCCACAAACAGAGCATATGTAAAAAAAAAAACAAAAACTATAATGTATTTACAAACAAATATATATATATATAAAATATATAATATAATATAATAAAAATATATATAAATATGTGTGTATGTATCATAATATTGTATGTTTGTATTTATCATATATTTCTACATATGTACACACATTTATATAGAAATATATAACACATTAATACATAAAAAATATATATACATACATATACCTACACTATGCACATATATTAGAATGTATATATATACACATATATGTGTGTATGCTGTATGTACATGTATGTATATATATATTAGAATATATGTGTATGCTGTATATATGTATTTATATATTAATTTGTTATATATTATTTATATATTATTTCTATATAAATGTGTATACATATATAGAAATATATGATAAATAGTAATGTACAATAATATATATATAAATATATGTACAATAATATATGTATATAAATTATATATAATATAGATATTATACATATAATACCTATGTTATATATACACATATATATGCTGTATATGTAACCTATGTAGAATAAATCTAATCAATTTATTCTACAAAATGTAGATTCTCATAGATGTACAGTAGATGTAGGTAGTACTGACATAGTAAGTAGTGTAAAATACTTGTAGACAGTATAGTAAACAAATACATCACACTCACACTCTAACATTATCAGGCATTCGTGATGTGTACACGTAGTGGTGTGAAGTACGTCGATAACTCTTAATGCCTCTGTCAGCGCAGCCTGCAGGGGTCAGCGTCACGTCGCCTCGTACAGTGATTACTCGTCACAAACCTCCGGTCGGTGAAGCAGAAGGAAAAAGGTCATGGGATCATGTTGAATGAGCAGTGAACTGGACAACATCTGAAGACCAACACTAACCTCTCTTAAGTCCTCACTAATCCGACCCACTTTACCGTTTCCCGTCTTCCTCTTGTTGGGAAAAACCTGGTGCATCGTTGTTTCCAGCTCTCATGTCTGGAGGACACAGGTGTCCTTCTCTACTCCAAGTGTCTTATTTTCAAATTAACTTCCTGCGGAGTCTCATCATTATGCACTTCCAGTATAATTACACAGATGTATGCCTGCGCATGTTTCTGTCCGCCCACTCCAATTAAAAGGATCTACAAGAGAAGAAAGAAGTGGCTCCAGATTTCACTGAACTACTGACCTCAGACGGGAAAATAATCAAGATAAAAAATATTGGTCTTATCCTCCGTTTAAATATCGTGCACAAGACTATTTCTAACAGTAGTCTGAGATAATAATGTGTTAATCTGCTAAACCCAAATCCATCCTAACAGATGTGTTGACTTTGCAGTTGTCCACCAGGGAGGACAGTTTAACTCAACAGCAAACACTGGTCAGGGTATGCTAACAGCTAACACTGTGTGAGTGAGACCAGACAGAGTGAACAGCAAGACACAAATGCAAATGCATTTGAAGGCCTGTATCGTATTTTCCGGACTATAAGTCGCACTTTTTTTTCATCCTTTGTGACTTATATATTAAAACTCCACGTGTTATTTTCAAACGGACCACCACTAGAGGGCACTCTAGGCTTGTGTACCACTATCTGCTACTCCTATAAGTCGCATATTTTTTCATTCTTTGACTGATGCAACTTATAGTCCAGAAAATATGGTATTGGTTTCTGTAGAACATTTAAACCTTAAAAGGTCATATTTGTGTCCAAAGAAAGGACCTTTATTTCCAGCTTGTTAATCAGTAGACAAAGGCTCGGTAAAGTGTCGTTTGTGTAAAAATAAATGGCTGTTGCCATCTATCAAACATGGCACAAAGCTAGTGTACGATGGTTCATGTAAAAGTCATACTGATCATAGTTTTTAATGTAGTTACTGTAGAGGACACGTACATGTGTGAAGGATAAAAAAAAACATCTGTAATGCAGCTCTTTGGGTCAGGAATCTCTTTTTTTTTAATTGTGTAGACCAAAGTAATTTTTCATATTTGAACACACGCTGTTCGGCCAATTACTAAATGTATGTGTGCGCCCAAGAGGTCAAGTGTAACTGTTTAATTCAGAGCTCAAGGTGTAGCAACCTGCAAGTAACCATGGCAACAGTACTGCTGCTTCCCTGCTTTAAAGAAAACACAGCAGATGATTCAAATATCAGTGTCAGGACTGTGACCACTGGGGGCACACTTTAGTCCTGGGACACATGGGCATCCAGACAGGCAGAGGCTGGTGTTGGCCGCTTGACCTCTTGACCTTACAACATTTGCTTCTTTATGCACTCCCTCATTGGCTCCTCCTAGAGGCCGCGTGTTTTGTACTGATTAAAACTCTGGCGCTCCCGTTTTTATAAAGTCTCTCTTTTTCTTTTCTTTTACTTCTAAATAACTGAAGATGCAATTAGAAGAGTGCACTCCATGTCATTAGTCTCACATGGCAAACTGGCGTCGCTCCCACTGTTAGGGTCACTTTTTAGGGCCGAGAAAAAAAATAGTTTCGAGTGCCAAAAAACCACACAGCCACTCGGAGAAGTGCCAAGTTCAGACGCCGAGAATCCTCAGCACCGTCCTCACCAGCTCTGTGTCAGGTGACGAGCGGCGAGCCCAGGTGTTCGCCCATCCAAAAACCACACGCCGCTCTCACATTTACGGGGTTGTGTCACTCCTCGGAGGGAGGCAGCGGATAGAGACGGCCGGGCACCGCTGACGGAGCTAACAAGGCAGTCGGTTCGTTAACAGCTAATTGAGCGATCAGTGCCAAGACTGGAGTTTGCCATCTGTTTGTCACAGAAGAACATCTTGTCGCATCACACTCTTCAGCAGGCCTCTCTCTCTCTCTCTCTCTCTCTCTCTCTCTCTCTCGCTCTGTTGGTGTGATATTAATAGCTCAATCTCACAGACAAAGTAAAAAGATTAAAATAAATAAATAAGTGGAGACAAATAACAAATAATCTCAAGACTGGAGGAGGAGGTGGAGGAGGAGCAGGGAGGCCTCCAGAGGAAGACTCCTGCCAGATCCAGTTCACCCTGACACAGTCTGGAAATAGTCTCGTTGTAACTTGAATCCAATAACATTTGAAAATGTTTTAATTCTGCTGCCGATGTCTCTTCAGACCACTGTTTGTCTGAAATCATTTACGTGACTATAATCTCAAGTGGCAGAAATTGTGTTTTTAAATCTGTAGTGTATTCATTTTAATTGATTATGAACTAATACAAAATAAAAAAACAATGTACATATAAAGAAATCAAGCTTCAACAGATCGACATCTTAAATGCTGAAATTTAATTTGAATTTCTGCAGAATCATCCAATTGATCAATTGAATAATAATAATTAATAATTATTATTCAATTAATAATAGTAATTGAAGTAGTGGTCATGTGACCACAGTGGTTTCAGTTACAGGCAGTTCTTTATATTACTGTATGTAGACAATTCCGTCAACATGGAAAAAGAAGAAATCCAGACAGGGGGCAGCATCACTGATGGAGATGAGAAAAACTCATAATGATTTAATGTTTTTGTTTTATTTTTACATTTCTTCACACTATCAAAAATAAATCATTAACGGCCATCATCCAAAATGGTTTGTTTAAACTATAAATGCTTTAGATGAGAAAAACTTAATAGTGTGTGTGTGTTTGGGTTTGGGTTCGTGTGTGTGTGTGATTTTTTTTTTTTAGATGCATGTCTGCCAAAATCTGCTGTAAGCATGTGTGTGCGTGTGCACGTTTGTGTCAATTTTTGGTGTTTGTGTGAGTGTGTGCATGTGTGTGTGTGTGTGTGTGTGTGTGACAGCAGCTCAGTAGAGGTGCTAATTTGTTGATGTTCCTTCCATGAAGAATCTTAATTAGCGATGTGGGTTTCATGGCTAATTTAGTGATTATGTGCAGGATGGTTGGACTGATGAACATCTCAGGGTGTTTCACTTGTTCCACACCTTTCTGCACATCTGTCCTCTGTCCTTTCTGTTTTTTCTTTACTTATTATTTCACTGTAGCAGTGAGTTAATAGCTGTAGGGTTAATCTTTACACACATCCATTTAATGGCGCTAAAAAAGTATTGAGGATTTTTTTTTTTTTTTGTCGACTTTGTAAAGCCAAAAGGTGAACCGTGTTGGTTTGCGTCTGTTTACTTGTGCCATGGCAACAGAAAGTGAAGCATGAGTGGTTGTTGTTAGCTGTTACCACCTGTTACCACGTTTGTTAAAGATTGTGTGAGACCTGATCAACTTCTTACTTTCTGAACTTGCCCTATACAGTAATGCAGTGATTCCCAACCTCTGTGCCGTGGCCCATTAGTGTGTCGTGACTGATCATTAGGTGTGCCGATGTAATTTTCCCAATGTCACTTAATTGGTCGCAAAACAATTTTTTATTTATTGCAAATATTTTTTCTTTCTTCGTCAATGCGTGACAGGCAGAGCAATTTAATCATCTTCCGCTAGGTGGCAGCAGATGATTTTTAAAAGTTAAAAAACATAGATAATTCGAGCTGTTGAAGAAGATCTTTGTGAGTGTCTTTCTTCAATTCCTGCCAGTATATCAGCGTTGTCTTCAACTAAACAGAAGTACATTTTTACTAAATTTAAACTAGAAGATTAAAATATTTCATTGTATATACTTTTTGTGAGATCTTTGTTTGGAGTTTTATATATGTGCCATGGCTCAAAATAAGTTAGGAAACACTGCTGTAATGGTCAGTGGATGTCATTGGTTTTTGGCCCAAAACTTATAGATAAGATATAAAAAATTGAAAAACTAAATATTTTAGTCCCACAAAGCTACATCTTCACTAACAGTGTCTGACTGTTTGGTAAATAAACAATGTTAAAAAAAAAACTATAAATAAATATAGTTGAGGTGTAGAGAGTGCTGTAATGGCCGCCGCCTGATCACATGTCTGTGTTTCCTCTCAGGGTTGGTTCAGTCCAGGTCAGGTATTTGTCTTAGATGAGTACTGCGCTCGATACGGTGTCCGTGGTTGCCACCGTCACCTGAGCTACCTTAAAGGACTGATGGAATACTCCGAAAACAACACACTCGTTGACCCCACGCTGCTGCACTACAGCTACGCCTTCTGCGTCTCCCACGTCCACGGGAACAGGTGAGACGGCCTTCACATGAGCACAGATAAGAACTTTAGTGTTGTCTCCACGTGTTTCACACCTGCATTCACTCATGTTTCTGTATCTATCTGTTTCTTCTAAAACATTTCAAGGGTGATAGGGGCGGGGGGTCAATCCCAGCAGTCATCAAACACAGGACAATTTCTGTATCTATCTGTTTCTTCTAAAATATTTCAAGGGTGATGGGGCAGGGGGACAGTTTTCATTCTCACCTGTGGTCAGTTTAGAGTGAAAAAAAATCACCAATAATCCTCATGGTTTTCTCCTGTGGGAGGAAACCAGAGTCCTGGTAAAAAACTCCAAGACTGGGGATTGAACTCGTGAAGGAAATTGTATGTATCTCTTACAAATATGTGTCATTGTGGCACCTTGGTGTAGCCCACCTTGCTTACACATCTGCCTTACACGCAGAAGGTCCTGGGTTCGAGGCCCAGAGGAACCACATATTTAAAGGCCTCTCCCGTTTGGCCGCCTGTGTGGTTTATAATAAGGGATTCAATTAATATTATTATTTCATGACTTCATGATTTCATGACCAGTTTTTAATATTTCTACATTATGTCACAAACATCACATTTTAGTTTGGGAGAAAATATTTAAGACCAGTAAAAAAAACAAAAAACGAGTTAATTTCCACAGGTAAAGAGAGACATGAGGCAAACATACGGTGCATGGACACAGATGGGGGACACAGGTATGCTGCAGCAGCAAACGTGTGTCAAGTGTTCTCCTCTGATCTGACGGGAAGAGGAGTCCACCGTCTGCAAAAACTTGGTCCCCCGATCCGTGAGCAGTAAACTCCCCCAGATATGAGCAGCACCAGTGTCTTTTAGCCACTCGTTGGCATCAGCAGCACTCCAGCAGTTCAGTTTTCCACTTCACTCCCCGAAGCCCCCGCTTGACTCCCCGGCTTCTAATTACTGATGTCTGTGCTCCCCCTCATTGTCGACTCATTTGGTCAATTAGAAAACGTAATGATTAGCTTCTCCAGCTAATCACCACATATAAATTGTAGGGGGTGGGGGAGGGGTAACTGGAATTGGCTTTTTGTCAGTTAGACTCTAATTTGAATAATGGATGCCCTTGCATGGCTCCTTGGTGTTGCCTGAGTGGGTGTGGATGGGAAAGAAACGTTTTGTCGTTTTTTTTTTTTCGAAGGGCTGGCAGACTTTGAGGTGTAGAGAAAAAAAAACTTAATTACAGAACTTGAGTTTTCCCTTGGAGGGCTGCTTGACGAGATGGAACTACGAGACGAGACGCCACCGACTGATCAACAGTCGAGAGTACATGACTAATACTTCAAGGAAAATTATTCAGAGCGCACGAGTGTTGAGCTAAAGAAAACAACTCTCCATCAGTCAAAAGAAAAGCACGTTAGAGTTTTGTTGAAGCGGCAAATATTTTTCTGATATGTCAAAGACTCCTCCAGGTGATATCAGCTCCTCCAGGTTTGTTAGTTTCAAGGATGTGGTCCTTAATTTGAATCTTTAATTACCATCTAAAACTTTAGATGGACTGTGAAAAAAAAATCTTATTAGCTTTTTAAATTTTTAAAATTAATTCTGAGGTGAAGTTTACTCTTCTGTTAAATTGAATCCAGTACATAGTTATTATTTTTTGGTTATATTTAATTTTTGCTCTTTCTTGAGCAAGAAAAAGAGAGCAGGACAATCAATTTAGAATACAAAAAAAGTAAAAATCAAACGAATTTAATAGTTAATTAGCTATTTAAATAATTAAATTAATAAATTCAGGTTGCTACTTTTTTGTTTAACAAACCAAACCAACACTGGAAGTCTGGATTCAAATCCTTCTTAAAACTGTACGTACAAAGTTCAGTCAAAATGTTCAAAGACGTAGATTTCAAAAGCGTTCATGTTTAGAGTTTCAGACACGGCCATTTTTATCCAAACATAAGAACTAAAAATGTCAAAGTTTTGCAACAGGTTCATAGTTTAAATGACCTCATAATTGTCTAAAATCTCGGCCTGTTTTGTTGAAGACAACGCTGATATACTGGCAGGAATTGAAGAAAGACACTCACAAAGATCTTCTTCAAAAGCTCTGATTATCTTTTTTTTATAGCCATCTGCTGCCCCCTAGCAGAAGAGGATTTAATTGTCCTGCCTTTCATACTTTGACAAGCAAAGAAAAATTATATGCAATAAATACATAAATAATAGTTTTCAAACAAATTAAGAGAAATCTCACGGCACACTGGTGAACTAGGAACCACTGGCCTATCGTACTGTACTGCGCGCCTGTGTGTGTCCAGCCGGTCTCCAGCCTGAGGGTCCAGGTCTGCAGTGGTCCACGTGCAGACCTCAGACGTTTAAGAGGTGTTTTGAGTAGAACAGTTAAGGTCTGCTCTGTTGTTCACGGTGTTTGTGTGAAGTGATGTAACAAACAGAGCTGAGCAGGAGCTGCAGCTGTGACACCACTTCATCTCCTCCAACTCTGTGACTGTTTGATGAGACAGGTGCGTTTGAACCCAGATCAGGGTTAAAGGAGCATTAGCAGAGCAGGGAGGGAGGGACCCTCTCCTCCCCCTCACCTGTCACCTCACATCTCCTCCAGCCTGAGTCGCCCCACACCGCATCGACATGTGATGTGACAGAGCCCCCCCACCATTCACATAACAGACCCCACCCCCCACACCCACCTCCGTCCAGATGCACTCCCAGA